TAGGTTGTCTAAACTGGTTCCATGGCTTTAAATACTTTTTCCTCTTCCACCTTGATCATTTTATGTTTTATGAAGAAAGTGAGGCCCATAAAAAGGGATGCTTTTTGTGTAGGGTTGTGAAGCCGATTAGCGGCATAGCCTGAACTAAAATCAAAGGGTCTTGTGCCCATTCTTAGCTTCAGTGGCATCACGTCATCCAAAAGCATAAACAATTTTTTTCTCTTAGTTGTAAGAATCATTAAGTCTGTATCAGTTCATGCACAACACCAAGTATAGACTGAGTCATTGACGATAAACTTTCCGTGTGCATAACTTTGGGAATTTATTATATTTATTGTGACTGTTTCAATGGCAGATAGAAACTTACCGAACCAATCTGTGCCTACTATAGCTCTTTCTAGGATTGCAGGACAAACATTTCTTTGTTACTGTTACTTCCTAATTATTTTAGGGAAAAACATAAAAGAAATCAAATAACAACCCCTTTCATTTTAGGTTGTCTTTGTATTTTACAAAGCCTTGTTATGAAAATTCCATTTCTAGTCATTTAGCCTACGGTACCATCCTCACATGTGCAGAATGTTCATGGTGATGTTTATTTCTGCCTTGTATGAAATTGGAATCGACATGAATGTCCATAATTAGAAAGTGGTTAAAGAAATTACACTAATAGCCATGAAAACCTATGAGTTAGATCTCTGTGTCCTACTATCTAATAGAGAACAATATCCACGACATTGTATCATATGGAGATTAAAAAAAAAAAAGACTCTTTTGTAGTAAAACTGTCATCATTGGTCCAAATTCAGCCCACAAAACTGTTTTGTTTGGCTTATACAGTGTTGGTCTAACCAGTGTTTTAAAAATAATATCAGAGTTGTTGCCAGCATTTAAAAACCAAGAAATTTCACATAACAAGCAGAGAAAAAAGCTGACCTCAGAAACTATCAGATGATCCAACAGCATCAACTCTCAATTCTTATTTGTAAAAAAAATTCTTGGAACCAGGAAACAAGGAGTGGGTCTATCCTTCAGACGTCCAGGTTCTTTCCAGTAGTTCATACTCCTTCATAAAGTCCTGAGCACATCAGTTGCTATTTATCATGGAGCTTTGTGCTTTTATTTTTCTTAGTGAAATGAGGAGGGAAAGGAACCACTATTTATATCAAAAGTGAGAAAATTGAAGTCTGAGAGGGTCAGATGTTTCTAAAACAATAAGGAACATAGAAAAACACAATTGTGCAAGTAAATTATGTGATGTTTTCAAAAAATACAGTTTAATGTGGCAGGCACGATGAACACACCTGCAGTTCTCAGTCATGTACAGCCTGATCCAGGCAAATACTGGAATTGATGATCCCAGTAAAGGGAAGGGTCAGGGAAGAATTGAGGATGGCAGGTCATGAGTGGGAGGGAGACTTACTTTTATTGTAAACCTTTTAATAATCTGAATTTAACATGTGTATTATTTACTTAAAAAAAGATGTTAATAGGACCAGTAGTTGGCATAATGGCTATGTCGCTGGACTCCCATGTAATCAACTGTGGTTCGAGTCCTGGACCCGGTGGCTTAAATTCACATCGGGCACGTGTGTTTGTGTGCCCAAGATCCTGAGAGGAGAATGGAATGTGGCATGGCCATCCCCCCTGGGGGGTGATTTCTCGCTTTCTGTCTCTCTAGCTCTCTCTCTCTGGCGAATGCACGCGCCGTATAACAAAAACCTCTCAAAAAAAAGAAGTTAGGGAACCAGCAGTTAGCATAATGGCTATATCGCTGGACTCCCACATAGTCGACCGCAGTTCGCGTCCCGGACCCGGTGGCTTAAAACTCACGCCGGGAGCGTGTGTGTGCGTGCCCAAGATCCCAAGAGGAGAATGGAGGAGAAGGGATTGCGGCGTGACCATCCCCCCCTGGGGGGTGATTTCTCGCTTTCTGTCTCTCTGTTTCTCTCTCTCTGGCGAGCGCACGCGCCCTATAGCGAAAACCTCTCAAAAAAAAAGAAAAACGTTAAAAAAAAAGATGTTAAAACATATGGTTCATAAGTTATGAAATAATTTTTACTATTTTAAACTAAATTCTCAGACTTAGCTAGAAATTGAACAATCTACCAGTTAAAACAGTCAAAACACGAAAAGTGACTCTTTTCAGAATTATCCAATGAATAATGAATCAGGAATCATCAGAAAGGGGATAGTGGGAGGTGTTAACAGAAACCAAAATATTTGTATTTGCTTTCATAAATTCTATATTTAAATTCTCGTAATAAAATTGTTTGCAGGGACCAGCAGATGGTGTCATGATTACATTGCTGGAATCCCATTAATTTGACTGTATTCCCAGACCCTGTGGCTTAAAACACCAGGTGCGTGTACGTACATGCCC